AATACTAAACTACAAACTTCGTGCGCAAGCGGCAACCGGCGATGTGTATGTAACCGCGCGCTATTTAAAATTACAGCCGGGGGTCCGTCATAGGCAGGGGTCCAACATAGGCACACTTCCCCTACTTCCTTCAATATGTACTAGGTACGTACTAGGTACGTACTTTCAGTACGTATCATAATTTGGAAAATGTTCGTTTTATGTACGTATTAAGTACGTACTTCGTACAGTAAAGTACGTACATTGTACGTACTTTATGTCCCATAAGTACGTACTTAGTATGTCTTATGTACTTGTGCTTACAGGGCATCATAATTTCTTTCAAAAAAACAGGAATATTTCAAGTACACAACACATTTTCACCGACGATATGTTTGCTCTCAGTTTGTTCAGTGAGAGACCTAATCCCCAGACGAAACTCTTCCTCTCTTCCTCTAACATGTCAACTAGCTGCAAGTCTACCAACTTTAGAATCTGAAAAACCAACCTTATCTCCCCAAATTTCAAGCAAAAACTTTCAGCAACCAATAGACACTCCATCAACATCAAGCTGTCAAAACTCTACGCCTATGCACTCTCAACAGCCTGGCTATTTTTTTAAGTCCTGAGGAGATTCGCGAGGAACCGCAAAGTGGGCGACGCCTGGTGGTAGATTTCAAAAGCATCCACTTCGGGAAAACCTTGAAATTGTCAATATTTTCTATACATATTAGCGACCCGTTTATATTGTAATTAACAATGACTTCGACTTCAAAAAACTATTGCAGTGTTCCTCAATATTCATCCTATTATAATTCATAAAAAAATCCATACATAAGTTTTCGCTGAACGAGAATATGAGAAAAGTTTGGCAATGCATTTGCGATTGGCAAACCTATAACCAAGTACATGACTGTTGCAGTTTTACATTTTACTGAGAACGATTAGTTTCCAAGTATTGATTAAAATATTATTTATATTTTAATATATTTATACTTAATTTACTTTATTGCCCCAACGGTCTCATCAAATTATTAGTAGAAAACGTAAGGCGTAATTTAGAAAATATAACGGGGCCAGCTCCAAAAACTGCCTCACACTCAACTAAAGATCTCTGCCGATCTTGCAACCATATAAATAATTAAGATAATGTCAATTTTACTTCCCGTGTTTCAGACATACTGTAGAAAAACAAACATTTAATTTTATTTTTATTCAGGTTTGGTATTCAATTACCTTATGTATAAAGTCGAATCACAAACAAGTAAACTTTGAAGAACGTAGTCCAACTTTTACTTTGGCAAAACATACGTGTAAATGATTTATATTAAACGTTTTATAGCTTAGACATCAAATGACAAAATTATTTGTCTTCATGAAGTTATCGTCCATCCTTGAAATCTTCAGCGTCCCCCGTCGGAATTGGCTATCGCGAATACGAGGATATCCAAATCGAAACTTAATACTAGCTCCAAGAAACCAAGAGAAAAGGAGAAAAGCAGAATAATAACTGACACCCCAGAAAAGCTTTTTCTGGCAGAAAATTAGATCAATAAATAAAACAAAGAAAACCACCAACTTTAATGCTGAACGTACTAAATCTACGAAAAGAAAACTACTTTTTGAAAATAAGAAGAGTGAGAAGACAACTGATGATACTCTGATGATAAAGTATTAGAAAAAAAATAACAAAATTTTGACAGGAGTGAATTTAAAATTGAAGATTTTGTGCTGGTTAAATTTGGGACTGTAAAACAAAAAGATGTGTATTATGTTGGGAGAATCATTGGTAAATGTGATGATGGGGATGTTGAAATTTCATTTTTGAGAATGTCATCTAAAGTAAATTATAAATGTTTCTACCCCATCGTACCAGATATCTCTAGTGGTTCTTTATCAGAAATTGTAGCCCTTTTGCCAACTCCTTCTAAGCAGGGTACAAAGGGGCAGAAATTATTATTGTGTTTTGCAGTTTCATTGGAAAACTTCAATATGCATTAGGGGTTTGATTAAGTATCATAATATGGTTTTAAATATTGTAATAAAATAATTTCTGAAACATTTATATGAGGTTTTCAGTTTTCCAATTGTGTCTGAAGCTACCTCATTCCCCATCTGGAATTCCCCTTAAGTGGGAACAGCTTCAAACGTTTTTGAAAAAGTGGTTTTGATTTTTTTTTTACAAGTATAGGGTTTAATATTAAAAGCATATATACAGTGAAAGTTGGGTGAATAATGTGTGTTTTATGAATATTTTCTTTCTTTATTTGGTGAGGTATTTAGAGTGATATGAGAGTTCAAATTTTTATGTTTGAAGGAGCCCCACTCTCCCCTACCTGAACTTGAGCAAAAGATGGGCCGGATCGGATAAGTAATTTTTACGAAATTGAATTTATTTATAGGATTTTTTGAAAAATGAGCTAATTTCTAAGGCCGCCGGTCCAGATAATTTGACTGTATCTATTTCAATAATCAGGGGCTTATTTTCTTTGCTCTAACACATATTAATAACCTATGGAAAAAAAGTTTTAAAAAAATTACATTTATGTGGATACACAAAATGGCTTAATAATAAATACCACTTTATAAGTCTATAAACAATAACTCCATATAATTTAGTTCAAATTAAATGGCAAAAAATATTTGGAGAGCTCGTTTCTTGAACTTAACCCAAACCGACCGATATGTATGTACCTACTTGTGTTTAAGGTAAACATCTATTGATACCATAATGATAAAAATACAATGGATTTACTCATCGAGGTCAAAATGTCTGTTTAGTGTAAAAAAATAAAAAATATATAGGTTATAAAAAAATTGGCATATTGAAAACCCTACAACGGTGCCAAGCCTAAAAACTTACACTAAACGAACATACACGAATTATAACTGGAAAATGCATTTCTTAGCGATGCTAAATTACTGCAACATGAAAAGATTCCCGACCGTGCTGGATAGATAGACGAATTTTTCAAACCTTATACGACGCATCTTAATGGCGATTAGGGATAGTCCTATAAATATGTGACAAAAGGAATAAGATATAATCAATTAAACAATCGCTAAAACGAGTGAATAACTTGGAGGATGTAGCTGTTATTATCTATATATTTGTTGATTGCAGATGAAACACTCACAACCTACCTCAACCATGCTTGATTATCAAATCACTAGACAGCGGCACCACAACTGACTCATTATAATAATATGTTGAGATTTGCTTGATTAATGCGTTCAGCAATCCTGAGGTGTAACACCATCATATTGAGTTAACATATGGTAGAGGGAGAAAAGTATTGTCTGAGCGATGCTCCAGAGAATTGATTTATATTCAAGCTTCACTTCATTACATTATATATATATATATATATATATATATATATATTATATATATATATATATATACATTAATATATATTACATGACTTGTTTGTGGACTTCCTGATGGAGAGGGCTGTAGGGTACATTCACTATACACTGATTTCTCCAGGACCTTTGGTCGGGTCAACCATAATATTTTAATAGGTAAATTTAAAAAAATGTGTGTTGAAGGGCCACTTCTTAGATAGCTGAGAATATACTTGATTGACCGAGTTCAGATGGTGCGTATCAGGAATTTTGTTTCCAGTGAGATTAAGGTTTATTCAGGAGTACCCCAGGGTTCTCATTTGGGACCCCCGTTATTTAACATATTCATCAATGATATACACTACTGCTTTCAACACAGTTTACCTCTTCTTCTTCTGGACGATCTAAAGTTCTACACAAATATCAATAATACAGAAGATTGTGTTAATCTTCAACACGATCTCGATCGGTTGAGTGAGTTATGCGTGTTGACTACCATGGCCCTGAATGTATCCAAGTGTCATGCTGTTTCTTTTGGACAATCGAGAGACCCAATGGAATACAATTATAATATACAGAACATTCTTGTTGACTGGGTTACCGAAATTCGTGGTCTGGGAATTAATTTAGACTGGTAAACTTTTATTTGAATCGCATTATATGTATTAATTTCCAAGTCTTTACAAATGCTTGGCTTTATAAAAAGATTCACTAGACTTTCAGAATATTGAAGCGATTAAATTAATATATTGTTCTTTAGTCAGACCCTATCTAGAGTATTGTTCTTGTGTATGGTCTCCATCTTATATTTACATATCAAAAGTTGAGACAGTTCAACAAAGTTCTTGAAATATGTAACATATAAACAGGGTATACCTTTTGAATTAAATCAAGTAAATTATGATCAAATTGAAAACCAACTTAGCATTCTCTCATTGTATGACCGACGATTAAAGATGCTTTATGGCATAATTAATTTAACAGTCTTGTGCCCACAGCTACTTAAGCAGGTTGGTCTGCATGTATCTCTCCGTAAAATACCATTAAACCAAACTTTTTATGTTCCTCTTCACAGAACCGACTATGCTATATATTTTTAACTCGGGCACTAAGATGGGCAAATATTCACCCAGAACTAGATTTTTTTGCACCGAAGGCTGAATTCATTTCTGGTCTAATGTGTTGAGTGGCTGTGGAATAGGTAATCATCATTTTGATGTGTAAAACTAAATTACGTGATTAAGTTTGTGATATTTATACCTTTTATTGGGCAGTAGCCCGTTGAAAATAAATAAATAAATATATGATGATGGGAATAAAAATTGACACAGAGAAAAAAGTCACTCTTCCAAATCTAAAAATATAAAATCAGCAGAGAGGTACTTCAGCCGCAGATTCTCTTTCTGATCCAAATAGTTTCAATGACCCCAGTCAGGGTCCTACCAGATAACCTTCGGCACAATAAGGCAGCTTCAGCATCTTACTCTTGGTGTGAAAAGTTCTGCCAAAGTTCCGATGTCTTGTACAAAATGTAATGGAAGATGAACAATAATCCAATGGGTTGCAGTGTGACTTGTGTAGGACAAATTGCTTCCAGAGACGCAATGATTTTACATTCATTTTATACTGATATAGTACAACATTATTGATATTTAATAAAAATAAACTACTAACAATCAAAAATATATTTTATATTACAAATCGAATGATACAAAGTCACAGATACCTACTGTAATAAATAAATTAATAAGAAATGTCAAAAAATACATTCACTTGAAAGTATGGAACAAATGACACAACATAACAAATGTATGTTGGATAATTTAAAAAGAATTCACCAAAGTGACCACTTCACTAATTTATAGAGTTGTTAATTATACCCATTATTTTTTATATAAATGGCAATAAATTAAAATACTTATTTATAATACAATGTAATGTTATTAGAAACAAAAAATGTAGAAACTGATATATTAACTTTTCTTAATAAAATTTAGAATGATTTGTTGTATAAAACGTTCTCTTTGGCAAAAAAATATCCATAACAACTCTAAAAACCATCAGTCCAATGAGCTAATACAATTTAAAAACATCCTAATTTTTCACATTTTTCACAGTTCTACATGTTTAGGTTTTAGCTCTTCTATCCTTTTCAAATATTCACTCTTTTCTATACATCCCTCGCAATCTTCACCCCAGTCATTCAAAATTTTCTTCAGGTCCCTGACCTTAAGTTTCTTCAGATCTACTGTTTTTAAATCTATCTCTACATCATATCGGAGTTCACAGATTTGTGCGTCTTTCTTCTTGAGCTTTTCACAGATTTTGTCTGAAGGCATGGACCATGAAAGAGGTTTGGACATCTCTCCTAGAATTCCAGTCGCACTCTCCTCCAGTCCTCCCAAGTAGTAACACTAAAAATAAAATATTAAGTTTAGTTTCTTAATGTAGCATAACAGACAATATTTGTATTTTGTAAAAAAGTAAGTACATATTTATGATGCTCTCTAAACAAAAAGCCCTGGTATGCACCCGAAAGTGTTTTAAAACAATTTAAAATGTTTTAATAAAAACGCTTCAAGTGCACACCAATTTAAAATACTTAATAACAATAAAATATAAAGTTATGTTCCTATATTTAAACATGGCCAGAAAAATAACATTAAAAATTATGGTAGCATTTGTATACAATCTGCAATTCCTAAGCTCTTCCACAATCTTATGACAAAGCAACTTTCTTGATTATGTAAAGGCTTAATACCTCATTCACAACATGATTTTCATAGCAAAAAATACACTGCAACAAACTTGGTTTGCTATCAATCTGATATATTATCTCAAATGGAAGACCGCAAACAGGTAGATGCAATATACACAGATTTTTCCAAAGCATTTGATCTTGTAGATCACGAAATACTTTTGGGCAAATTAATTAATGTAGGCTGTCATGTAAGATTTCTTGAATTTATTAAAAAACATCTGGCAGAAGTCATGAGTCAAGATAGGTTGTCATCTGTCTGACAGTATCTCAGTAACATCTAGAGTTCCTCAAGGAGGTCACACTTCTCCACTTCTTTTTAATATCTTTGTTAACAATATTACTTTCTACCTTCTTCCTAAATAGCAAATATCTAATGTTGGCAGATGACTTGAAATTTTGGAAAGTTATAGATAGCTAAAAAAATCAAGCCTTGTTACAAGATGACAAAAGTGGTGCAATCAGAACAAACTCCACTTCAATGTAAAAAATGTTGTTTTATAAGTTTTTCTTGTAAAGTCAATGGAGTTGAAACAATCTATACTATTAATAATCAACCACTGAATTATGTTTCTTCTATTCGGGATTTGGCTGTAATTTTTGATGAGAAGCTTACTTTCTTTGACCACATAAACTCTATTTTAATAAAGGCGTCTAAACTACTACTAGCACTAAGATTTCACGACTAGAAATTGCAAGTATTTTTCCATTGATTTAACAAGATCAGTGTATTGTTGCTTAGTTCAAACTATTTTGGAATACTGTTCAGTTATTTGGTCACCCTGTTTTCAGAACAATAATGATACCATAGAAAGAGTGCAGCATAAATTTTTGAGATATTTTGCTTACCATGTCCACCTTACTACTACAAATCACAATTATTCCTGTATTGAACAATTATCTTTACCCTCACTCAAGAACAGTTGTGATATGTTGGAGCTATATTTATATATAAGATCATACATTAATTTATTTACTGTCCAAACCTACTAAGCCAGATTCACTTTATTGTTCCCCATCAAGTTCTATTTACTACAATGTTTTCAATGTTCCTTTCTACAGAACAACCTATGGTATTCACAACCCATTGGACAGATACATGGGACTATTAAATGTTCTCGATTTTGATATGTTCAATATAACTTGAACTAGGTTAAAAAGAGTTCTTGCTTTGTAATATGTATATTGGTATTGTTAAATTTTGTTCTTGTTTGTTTTTAGTATGTAAGATTTTTAGTCTTACATATTTAAAATTTTTTTTTTTGTGTATTAAATAAATAAACTATTCATATAAGTAGTGAAGATTAAAAATGTGTACATATATCCAATATTTTGTCTGAAGCAAGTATTTTTAATTTGGTCCTTGGATAGATAGCAAGTATAACACTCATATGTTTTTTCAGGACTGTTAAAAAGGAGGTATTAAACCATATGAATACACAGTTGCATCAATTTAATATATTATAATTAGAAAAATATCTTAATGTGGATATCTAATATGTAATATGAAGTGTGAATAAGTTCAAGTACTATTAGAATATAAGGAAGAAAGACCACACAGTCACAGGAAATCATTTAATTTATTAAACTCAGGATGGAGAAAAACTTGCCATTTTTGCTAAGCTCAATTGAAAAGGCACTTAGGGGTAGAAGAAATATTTTTACATTTTTCTTCCCTTCTCCCTATCCTTGTTGTTCGTATCATTTGGTTATATTGATATAAATTTTGATCTATCTACACTATAAACAAGTATAATACAAGATAGACTGATAATACAGTTGTGTTCTCCCGGTGCAATAATGAAATCTTGAGCAAAGCAGTCCCTGCATCTGTCTAATGGGCCAGGTTTATCAACCACTTGACCTTCTCATTAGTCATTTAGATCACACAGTCGATAAACCTGGCAAATTAGAAAGAGATACAGGGACTGCTTTGTGTTAGTTTTATCTGTTGCACTGGGGAACAGGCTGGTATTGCCACAATCAGACTATCTTGTATTCTATGTCTATGAACTACAGAACTCCTCTATTGTGATGTTAAATACTATCTAAATACTTATACGTAATTTGCTTACTCATTGCAAATTTATTCAATTGTTGATTGACAGTTCCAAAATTTCATATTATAGTTCATTCACTTAGATTAGGAATAGTTATGAAACATAACAGAAAAATTCCTACCCCACCATATAATTTATAGCTGAAATAAACTTACTGTTGCAGACTTCTTTAATTAATAAAGAAGAGTAATCATGAATACAGGAAGTGTATATTCATTAATTTTTTTAAATGTGAATAATTTTTTGCTTAAGTTACAATAAAATGTGAAAACATTAGCTATGAGCACTTGTAAATATTTGGTTTTATAGTAATTTCCAGCCATTTCCAAAGTAAAAATTTGAGGGATAGAAAATACTAATTTCTAAATTTACTTTGAGTTCAGTGAATAGTCCATTATTTATGGCATTCTAACCAAACTTTATCTATATTGTTTATACCTGTAATTCTGATTTTTTCATATTTTCTCTCATCATACTGAGACCCACACCAAAGAATATAGACGCCTATATTCTTTGCCCACACAGTTGTTTCTACCACATGTCAAGTCAACTCTCCATTATTATCTTAGGCACAAATATATTGGATATGTTAAAAAGTAAAATACTTACAAATCGATGTTCCTTATTTTTTAATCCTTTACAATACTTCTTAAACTCAGTCTCAATCTTTTTGGGATCTTTTCGCGTACTTTCATCTAAAGTGGCTGAGAACTTATTCAAAGTTTTGATACATACTAAAAAGTACATAACGTTATAACATCGATGTTTTATTATTCAAATTTACCACTTACCTTCACATTCATTGGGTTTAAGAGCATTTGCAGCCAAAACTAATGCAAGAAAAACGAAAATGAGTGGCTGAAATTCCATTTTTAATTTATCTTTGGTGCTAAAACAAATAAGAAATAATCCAACATAAAGTGAGGTTAAACAGTTATATTATGAGTTATTAAATTATTAAAATAAATTCTATTATTTTATTTATAACTTACATATGAAATGTGACTATTTGTACTTGACTTGAATTAGTTTTAGCTTCTCTTACTCATTACACGTTAACAAAACTGTAAAAACCGCTGTCCCAAAAATTATCCGGGCACGGAGCTGTCAGTGTCAGCTTGTTGGCGTTTTCGGATTGGTCCACGTTTTGGTGACGTCTTCGGACCCCACACATTGTAAAAATCTTTAATATTCGGCAACTTATAAGAAGCAGGTACTGTATGTAGTGTCACATAACCAGAAGGCATTTTAATTGTAAATAGTTCATGTTGAGGTTGAGATTATAGGGGTGAGCGGTGTAATATTAAAGTTTTACTCTGTTACATTTTTACTCTACAGAAAAATTATAAATGTTCATCAATATTTACTCTCAGTATTAAAATTTTACTCTCTGATTCGGATTTGGCCATGTGGGATGCGGCCACTAAAGAGAATACACCCACACTATCTCCTACTGGTCCTACTAGGCGATTGCAAGAGCAGCTGACCGCTCTCCCTACAAAACATTCCATCTCGTCCTATACCGATCTATTTACCTAGAACTTATCTCAGCCACACCCCGAGTGTCGGATGAGTCCTCTTGACCGTGTTTGAGTGGAAGAGGTTCTTGTTGAGCGGGGATGTGTGACATGTACATGTCGCGCACCCTACACACAAACCGCGTAACTTGCGCCGCTCCCCCTTCACACACTCCTAAATTCCTCAATACAGAGTGATTGCCGGTATAAGTGATGTCCCACTTGCTGACCAACGGCTTCAGGCGGATGAGTTGGTAAGTGATAGGACACTCTTTTGTCCTGGAGTTGAGAAATCGGCTTCGAAGGTGGATGAACTATTAAGTAGTCAACGGCATTAGGATGTGGAAAGCCACGGGATGACTACCACATTATATATCCCTAGTAAAACCATCATAACGAGTAGGAGATTTCAAGCAGGAAGAGATTAAGATCCGAATTGAAATAGCAGGATCCAAATTCATCAAAATGAGACAGCTCTTAAGCAACCGCAACCTAAGCGTTAACCTCCGATGCCGCGACGAAACGCTACGTACTATCTACGCTACCTTACGGAGTAGAAGGGTAGACTTTAACAGCAGCAACTATAAAGAAGTTAGCGGCTCTAGAATTGTGTATGTATCGACGCATACTGAGAATACATTGGATAGACAGAGTGACCAACACAGAGGTATTAAGACGAATGGGTAAAGAGGTGGAATTGTTAACAACTGTTAAAAGGAGGAAAGCGTCAAACCAGGGCCATGTGTTCCGTAATGATAAGTACAGTCTGCTACAGCTTATCGTGGAAGGCACACTTGAAAACTCCAGGAAGCACAAATCAATGATTGATTTTATAGTCACTAATAGAAAAATCCACCCAAAGCAGATTCTAGATATCCGAACTTTAACCTCAGCAGACGCAGGAAGTGAACACAAACTAGTACTAGAAAAATAAAAATGAAAATAATACCAAAATATTTTCTACAGGAAATCACCGAGGAAAAATTCAATGTAGAATTACTGTGGAACGACTGCACAAGAGAAATGTACCTGAAATAAGATACAGCAGTAACAGATATTCTAGGAAAACGCAAAGTCAAACCGAATAAAAGAAACAACAACAATATACCATGGTTCAGAAAAAAAAAATAAAAAAGAAATGTAAGGAGAAACGAGAGGCCTATATGAAGTATAAAACAACAAATACTCCAGAATCCCAAGACACCTATAGAAAAATACGAAATAATCAAAGCAGTTGGTAAGAAAAACAAAAAATGAACACTGGACCAGTTTACAAAAAGGATGGAAAGCGACTTCTACGGTATACAAAAACAAATATGGAGATTCATAAGAAACCAACGGAAAGAAATGGCAGAATTAAAGGAATACAATATCACACCAGCAAACAAATGGGAAAGATACCTGACGGAACTGTTTAAAGGCAAGGAAAATAATAATCAATACAATAACGTATTTGAATTAAGAAACGAAATAGAAATTAGTTTTCAGGAAGTAGAGATAGTCATACATTCACTCAAAAATAAAAGTCACCAGGACCAGACGAAATAACCAACGAGCTTCTAAAACACGGAGAAGAAAGTATAACCTTATAGATGACAAAACGTATACAAAAACTAATACTGCACTGCAAGATACCAGACGTATGGAAAAACAGCATAATGATACCAATGTTCAAGAAAGGAGATAAAGAAGACTCCAATAGTTATAGAGGTATAAATCAACTGAACACCGCACTTAAGCTTACCACAAAAGTTCTATCTAACAAAATCAATAAACTTACAACTTTATCAGATGAACAACAAGGATTCAGATCTGAAAGATCCTGCGTAGGCGCCGTATTTGTATTAAGACAAATCACAGAAAAGGCTATCGAGTACAATACACCAGACTATCATGTTTTATAGATCTGACAAAGGCTTTCGATCGTATCCATGTCAAAGACGTCTTACATCTACTGTATAAAAGAAACATACCAATCAATATTATACAAACCATCGGAAACATCGAGTTCCATTATCGAATACAGGCAAAGATAAATGGAAAAATAACACAGTATATACCAGTACAAAACGGAGTCAGACAGGGTGACTCGTTAAGCCCACTTCTCTTTAATATAATAACGAACAAAATAACACAAGCAGTAAGAAATCCAAATATTATTTTATGTAGACGAAGCTGCATTAAACGCCGAGACAGAAGACGAGCTCCAAAGATTAACACACATCTTCTATACAACAACCAAGAAAAACAATATGATAAGGGTATTGTTCATATAAATGTACAATATGCGGTTTTTTATTTTATTTCGAATTCTGTTTTAGATATTTTTGTAAATCCAAAACTATTGAAAAGAACGGAGTTGTTTCGAGAAGCATTTTTTTTGGTTTGGTTGCAAAAGTGTTACAAATATTTTTTATTTATCGTCAAACCTTGAAATTGTCACTTCGGTAACTGTCCTACAGTCACAATTTGTAGTTTAAACCCAAATATATGTAACACTTTTTGACGTATATACCGTTTAGAGTCATTTTTATAGAAAATAAATATTTAACTTTTTAGTTAAATATATAAAAAAAGTTAGTTCTTACCAATAAAAATATTGTAGATTAGAAAGCTATGTCCCAGACCTCTCGCATCATTTCGGTAACACAACTTTATGCGAAGAAATCGACAATACCGACTTAACTTGTTGTTTATTTCTTTCGAGTTCCATGTTTGCGCGTAGTGTATGTATGAGTTAGTGACAGTGGTTTTTATGTAATATGGTAAGTTTTTTTTGAATAAATTAATGAATGACTGATTTTTTCGGCGTATACTTATTATTGGCCATTTCGGTAACTACTTTTTCATCGAAGTTTTTGCCTCAGATAAGCAATATAATGTATTTTTCTTTTTAAAAAATAGGACATGTTTAATAACCTCAAAAATCTTAATAATCTAAGTTACTCCTAGAGGGAGCTAAATTACGAAATGTAAGATTTCGTCATTTCGGTAACGTCATTTCGGCAACATTTTTAAAAGTAATATTGTGTTACCGAAATGATATTTTGTTACAGAAATGATTAGTTTTTTTTTATTTATAGATGGACAGCGAAAAATTAAAATGTTTAAAAGAAAAATTAACACAAGATAAAAAAAATTCCTACGAATTAAATTTAAAAAATAAAGAAGAAAAAAAAAATAAAAGTAAAACTTTTTTAAATCCCAAAAAGTCTGAACTTTTTGAAGAAGAGAGGATGACTAAGCCTTCAACTTCAAATGGATATTCTTCGGCCCAAACTAGCATCTCCAAGACGAAAATTCAAGTAAATTTATAAAAGTTATTTATTATTTATTTATTATTTATAAGTTTATAAAAGACTTGACACCACGACAGCAAAGAATAAAAAGAAAGGAATGGAGTAAAAACAGCAAAAGGTATAGAGAGAAGAAAAAAAATGAAAGGTGAAACCGAAAGATTTGCTAGAGATAATTCACCCGCAACAAGTGAAGATGAAGTTACAATTGAAAATCAGGACGACCTTTTTCATGAGGATCTTGCGGAAAATTTAGATGTTATGGATGTTGTCAAAAAGAAAAACACACCTTCAAGGCAAAAAAATGTTGGCCGACAAATAGTGAAAAAAGAAAAATCTTCATGTTATGCGACACCAGCAGAAAGAATTGCAAAGACTAAAACAGTTCTTGCAACCAAATGAACTTTTACTACAGATTGATTTTTCCGAAAATTATATTGCAAAATATGAAAGCGAAATCCAGTCAATGCACTTTGGTGCTTCAAAAAAGCAGATTTCACTACACACTGGTGTTTACTATTACAGAACAGAAAGTGATGCTCTTGTAAAATCTCAGAGCTTTTGTTCAGTCAGTGACAATCTAGATCATCAATCACACGCAATATGGGCCCACTTACATACCCTTTTATTGGAGTTGGCTAACAGGTTTTCCAATATTACACAAGTACATTTTTTATCTGATGGTCCTACATCTCAGTATAAAAATAGAAATAACTGTTTCTTGATGTGCAAGAAAATTCCCCAGTATTTTACAAATATTAAGTCAATGTCCTGGAATTATAGTGAAAGCGGCCATGGCAAGGGACCCATGGATGGTGTAGGAGGATCACTCAAACGAAAAGCTGATAGATTGGTGTTGCAAGGACAAGACATAATATGTGCAGGTGACTTTGTACATAAGCTTAAAGAAAGTTCGGTTAAAATTTGGGAAGTTTTGGAAGAAGAGATAAAAGACGCAAAACTTGAAATTCCAAATAATATTAGTCAAGTTCCAAATATTATGTCTATGCACCAAGTGACATGGAGCAAAAAATTTGCAGACAAACTATTTTTAAGAAAACTTAGCTGTTTTGCATGCAAATTTGATGAGCCCTGCATTCATTACAGTTTGAAGCCATCAGTGGTACTAATTGCTGCAAAAACCAAAAGTATCCTTTTTATAAAATATTGAAATGTTATTTTCAAAAGTAGTTCTTCTTTTTCTTAATTACTATTTACCAGATTTTAAGAAACAGAAATTACAATCTGCTGGT